AGGCTGAGTGCTTATGGATAGCCTTGCCCTCACAAAGCTGAGCTCATGGTTGCTGCTCTGTCGTAGGCTCAAAGTAAAGCAATGACATTTTAAAATTGCAGGTGTTCTCCTTTTTGTTCTTAGAGCTAACATGAAATGAAGAGCCAAGTAAACAACGCTTGAAGAGTGGAGATAAATGCTGAGGTATAAGCATACGCAGAATGAACAAAAGACTTGGTTGGCAATGCTTTTAAAATGAATTTGCAGCTTTAAAAATAACCCGATTTGCTAGTGTTATTTTGAACTTCTTTCAAAGCTGTTCTGCACAACTGTTTTCATCACTTGTAATTTCCTAGTACAGGAAGACATTGCTTCAGCCTTTTTTGTAATGATAACCAGTAGTTCTTAATTTTTTCAGGTTTGCATGTGTATGTGTTTGCTACCATGCAACCTCAGAAAAGAACGGAAGGGTAAATTTGTTCTCTTCAATAACATGAATGATAAATAATTAGGAAGACTCCATAGTTTCCACTTTTTGTGTATAAACAATGAAAACTGCAAATAAAAGAGGACTCAACATGTTTTTCCATCTTATTCATGCTTCAGTAGACTGAACTTAAACTAAAAAAGGCCAGGATAACGATGACAGCCTACAAGACACAAATATAAGAGTCAGAGGATGAGAATAAGTTAGAGGAATCACTAAAATCTATGAGAAAAAAGAAAAAAAGAGATCCTATTTTTAATGTGTAATGTTTCCTTTTAAGCAGACATCCATGCTTCAAAATTCAGGTGTGTGTGGTTATTTTGAAATTAAGAGAATACTGCAATTATTCTAGTGACATAGCCTGCACTACCACGACACAGCATGGAATTCGAGCAAATCGAAAAGCAATTACAAAGCTCCCAAAAGAGAGCAGCTCTGAGACTAAATGAGGATGTTTGTGAAACAAATGCACATTTAAAGCAGGCTTTTGTGAAGCAGTATTTGTGTTTTGCATCGCTACCAACCCAGTTTGATTTATTGCAGAGATGTCAGTTTTGACAAACGTTTCTTTTTCCCATTTTGTTAAGTACGTCAAAAATAGAAGTCTTTCTTCTGAACTGAACTTTTCCCCTCTGCAAATTTAAGTCAAACTTCTCAGTTGGTTGAATGCAGGCTGCAAAAGCTTCTTCTGCATAATCCAACTGTCAGAACACATGAAAATCCGTGTGAAGCCTTCCAGTCCCTCAGCAGATGTATACATGGGGCTTGCTTTTGCTGACACTTGTTATACAGACAGTAGAGCTCACTGTTTGGCAGAGACCATAGGACTGTCATCTTGGCTGAGAAATGTGCTTTATTTATTTATTTGCGGATAAGCTGATATCATGTTGATACAACATAATGGTAACTGCTGAACCTGCCTGGGAAAACAGTAAGCAGCGAAGAGGGCAAGTCAGTGACTGACTGATCTGGATTGCTAAGCTGGGGGCAAACTAACAGCATGCATTTTGCTAGTGTGAAATGCAAAGATGTTCATCTAAGAAGCAAAGAGTAGGAGCACAGTGTTGATGACATACAGGCAGCTCATTGAGGACCCACAAGTATGATGGGAATAAAGAGAGGATAAGAATCTCTTATCTCTACTTATATATTGGGAATACAAAGATTTGACGAAAGTTTTTAAATCAAAAGGCAAAAGCATAAGCATATATTATGCCTGAAAGTTAAACGTTCTGTCCAGAAATATGATTCACCTTTCTTTTTTTTTTTTAAACAGTAGGAAGGATGATTAACTATAGGATAGAAGAGAAATAAACTCCTGTAGGTTGGAATGAATATGCTTTTCCTGGGAAATTTTTGAAAGAGACTGAATCATTTGTATAAACAACATGCTCTAACCTGACCAGAGCAGCCCAGGGAAGTTCTGTGGACTGTTCTGTGCAGAAAGTAACACAAAATGAACGTAACGGTGTTACCCACACTGGTAACTGATGATTCTTGAAAGCATACAAATCTTTTTGCTGATCATATTTCTGAAAGTACCCAGCATCTGGCCTCTTTGCAAGTTATCTCTTTTGTCAGAATAGAGTATCCCTGAGCCTTTGGTACCAGCAGATCTCTAACTGCTATAGCACTCAAGTGAAGTAGTTGTCATCATTTCCTCATGGCTATTCAAAGAATCATAGAATTGCATGAGTTGAAAGGGATGTCTAAAGGTCATCTATTCCAACTCCCCTGAAATGAACAGGGACACCTACAGCTACATCAGGTTGCTCAGAGCCCTGTCCAGCTTGACCTGGAACACCTCCAGGGACGAGGCATCCACAGCTTCTCCAAGCAACACATTCCAGTGCTTCACCTCTGCTGAGTAAAGAATTTCCACCTAATATCTAATTTAAATATCCTCTTTTTAGTTTAAAACCATTCCCCCTTTGTCGTATCACTATCAGATCCTGTGATAGTCAGTAAGCTCCCTTAAAGTCCTGGGAAGTTGCAATGAGGTCTTTCAGAGCCTTCCCTTCTCTAAAGCTAACCAAACCCAGCTCCCTCAATCTTTCTTCATAAGAAAGGTGCTCCAGCCCTCTGATCACTTTCATGGCCCTCCTCTGGACCTGCTCTAACAGCTACGCATAAGAAATTGCTCTCTTGTAAGACCTGCATCATTTCTCATTCCATGTACCTCCTGTAAAATGCTGGACAAAGGAACTTCTAGTTGTAATTCACATCAGTGGGATGTAGCCATGTGGTTGCCAGCACAACAGAAAGCTTCATCTTACCTCAGAGCAGCATTTCCTCTCTGAAACTCGCTGAATCATGCAATACTCTGTATTCATCACACAGTGATACTTCAGCTGGATGCTCGTAGCAGAGAGGAGCTCATAAGCTTATTAAATATATCCTATTAGGTGGTAAATTTCCTTTTTTTTTTTTTTTTTTATATTAAAGAAAATGAGATTTCCAGCAGAATCTAACAATAAAGGAAGTTAGCAATACTACAAAATTCTATATTTCAGCAACTAGGTGGGCACTAAGGAGTCTCTATCTATCCACTTAATAGGATAATATATAGGTATGAGGATAGTGTCAGTCATCTGACTTCTGCTCATCTTTTCCTTCCTTCTTTCAGATCAGATTTCATTGCTGGACTCTGAACAAGTGACCACGAGAGGTCCTTCCTCTCACAGCACAGCATTGCTGCTGGGGCTGCTAACATCTATCCACACTTGCAGCTTGTTGCCTTTAGAGCCGTGACACTTTTTAAACATTAAATATGCGCTTTAAATTAAAACAGTGTGATAATGCCACTTTGTAGAGACATCTTCTCAAACTAAAGTTGAACAGCTTGGAAAACTGATGAGTTGCTATTGCTAATGTCTTCTGGCTTGCCTGGCACTGAGGCTGAAATGCAACATCTCGGAAATGAGAACAGAACAGGAAGGAACTGCTATGGTTTCTGATGCAAAAGTTACAGTGTGATATGCCAATTAGCAGTACCTTTAAGAAGAAGGTCTTTTTTGTGTCTGGTTTTACTTTCTAACATAAAAGGTCAGTATGTGCCAACCAACACTACATGTGATTTTGAGGAATAGGAGTTCTATCTATGTTGAATGTAATAAAATGTCTGAAGTCTTAGCATCACCGTTGTAACTAGAGAACGCCTGATTATTCAGTGTGTAAAGAGATACTGATTACTGTAGAGGGGAATTTCTAGAAACATTGCTAAGAAAAAATAAAAATATCTGAGACATTACAGATATAGTCACCTCACTGTAAGCAAAACCACTTTATAAAACTAATATAGATATTTATATAGATATAAAACCACCTAGATTTTCCACAGGAGAGGGAATTTCTAAATAATTTTTTCCCTCCCAGTGTATTTATGAAAACAACCTGAAATACCAACCAGACAAAGAGATACAGGTACTTCATCGTGAAGTATCAAAAGAAAAAAGATTCCAAAAACTCATCCAGGAAGAAAACCTTCTGTTGCAACATTCACACCAGTTTTAAATTAGATTATTCAGGTTGTGTTAGCAGTACAACTGTGCCCAGCATTGTTCAGTTTTTCAAGCTTTCCTTCTGTGACACTAATGTGGACATCCTCTTGATACTTCCACAGATTCTTGCTTCAGGAGGATGCCCTACCTGAACACTACTTCTTTCACGTACTTTTATAACACTTAAAAATGCTAACAGAATTTGCATTTAGACTTCTCAAAATTCTATTTAATCTCTCTTTGAAATGACATTATATTAAGAATGTACAGCATACTTATTAAACTTTCCATTAATCTCCATCAGATCTGGCCAGGAAATCTTATTTGCTATAACCCAGGATGGCCTTTCCTAACATTTTTCAACATCCTATTTTGTAACACCCTGACACCATGTATTAGATGTGAAATGGCCCTGAGCACCAGACCAGCATCACCCACGTTGCTCAGGCTGGCAGGATCTGAGCAGGATCTCCATGGAGCCTGCGTATCCATACTTAATTTCTTATTCAGATGCAGAAGGAGCTGACTGCAGTGTGTATAAAACTCAGCATACAGTAGCAAACAAAATGTATAGCTTTGATTTAAAAAATACGTGGTTATTATCTGGCTTTGGGAAAGGCAGATTTGTGCTGCAGATGAACAAGCGGATGAATGACTAGCAGAATTCAGTGTATCTGGTGTTCACCAAGGAAACATTCAGATGCTCAGGAAAAAGGTGAACTAGTAGTAGAGTTCAAAACCACCACAATCATGATTTCTCTAAGGATCTCTTTTTTGCATTTACTACAAGATCATGCTTGTTTTTAAGAGGATGGTTTGTAATGTTGTAATCTAACGCAGGTTCTACTCCCAAGGTTTTCAACCTTTTTCTCTAGGCTGAAGGATTTTTGAATAACCATCACAGCTTGTTCCAAGTGTGAGATTCCACCATTATCTCTCAAGTAAGAACCAGATTGAAAGCTCTTCTGGCTTTTCAGGTGGGTTCCCTGTTATTCTCATCTTATCTCAGTCTTTACGTATTCTTTCATTTTTAGAATATGTACAAGGAAGATTTCAGGAATATTACTGAAGAGAACATAGCCAGCAATGACACCTTCTCCGCCTTTGCCCACACCAACACCACAAGAGCTATCCTGATTACCGTCTACTCCGTTGCCTTTGCTGGAGGTGGGATAGGTTCCACTGCAATGTCATTTGTGCTGGTCAAGATGAACAGTCTGTCTGTGACCACCACAGCCATCATTAATCTAGTCGTGGTACATGGTCTCCTCCTCCTCACAGTCCCCTTCCGTCTGCACTACTATATCAATAGAGAGTGGATCTTCCACATGCCGTTCTGCAAAATGGTGAGTGCTATGGTGCACATCCACATGTATCTGACTTTCCTATTCTACGTGATCACACTGGTGATCCGGTGGTTGATCTTCTTTCAGTGGAAGGATAAGGTAGAGTTTTATAGGAAGCTACATGCCATTGCCGCAAGCGTCGCCGTGTGGGTCATCGTCATCGTCCTCATGGTGCCACTCTTCTACATTCAGTATGGACGCTCAGGGAACTATGATGACAAAGCATGCTTTAAATTCCACAAGGAGCTGAAACAGGACAGTGTGAAAGTCCTGAACTACCTAACCATTGCAGCTGTCGCCTTAATTACTTCTGTTCTCCTGGGCCTGCAGATTTTTATTCTGGTCAAAGTTTCGAGAAAACTCTCCGCTTCTCTCTGGTCACACCAAGAGTTCTGGGCCCAGGTGAAGAACTTGATATTCATCTGTGTCATCATAATTTGCTTCCTTCCCTATCACCTCTTTAGAGCCTACTACATAAAGTATGTGAGTGACAGTGAAAAGTTAGAAAGCTACAACGAAGTTTTTTTGAGCCTGACTGCCCTCAGCTGCCTGGACCTGCTGTTCTTTGTGCTGAGTGGAAGCCGTCTCTTCAAACAAAAGGTTGGCATGCTTCGAAGCAGGCTGTCCTGCTGCTAGCTCTGACTGTGTGGGGACCTGGAATCTGGCAGAGCTCAGTGCTGGAGAGACATGGCACATCCACTCTTCAGCACGTCAGAGCGGGCGCTGGAAACAACATAAACCTGCTTCCCAAAATAATGGGGTGAACCACCTATCACATCTCCCATGGTTGACTGGGGGCCTGGGATTTCCTTACAGCCCTGCTTAGTGAGGAGTGGATATGCTTTGAAGAGTTGGAGGAAAGGGCATGGCCTCAATCTTCTTCTTCTTATTATTATTTTTTACATCAAGATTTGTGAACTCTAAAGCACCACAATGAAACTCAAGAGAATTTGCAGAGTGTGTTAAACCACAGACACAAAAAAATGTAATTTTTAAATGGATTTTGGGACAGAGTTTTGAAATGTAAAGATCCATAACATTTTCCACATGCGTATCTTATTTATTTCCTGCAAACTCTCGTAAAATATTGATGAAGCTATTGTTCCACTTAAATGCGTCTTCTACTTCATTGTGAAGACAAGTGTAACTTTCCAAATGTACTGAGCAACTCAAACAACTCTTTAAAAACAAACTATGACTACCTATTTATTTTTTTAAAAGATTTTCTCAGAATCACTTCTGGGAGATGTTATCATTACAACAGAAAAAAGTTTTGTTCTTCTCTATCCCATACATCTCCAGCAGAAAAATTACACATCATCACTGAATATTGTATGTTTAGACTAAAAGCTACAGAATTGTTCAATTTTCAAGAAATACTAATGTTGAGAATTGTTTTATTTAGATCATTTGGGTAACAGTTGTCCTCTCTTAAAAAGACAAATATTTTATGTTTCCAAGGTAAATGTAAAGCATTTTTTTTTTTTCCACCCATGTTGATTTTGTGCAGTTCTAAGTTTGTACATAATTACTTTTTTTGGTCATTTTGACATCAATTCTATAAATGTTGTACCCTGTTGAAGAAATTAGAACAATACTGCTCAGATTGGAGTGATAGAGAAAGCTAATGAACCTGGTCTATCTAAAAATCTTACTATATCTCAGTGACACAGCATGAATTGCTATTTCTGAAGAGAGAATTAATCTCTATTTGAAAAGAGGAAAAAAAAAAATCAGCAAAATAATTCTATGGAAGACATCTAGGATTTCACAGCTCTTCTGTTTTGCAGTATCCCAAAAAAGACTATAAAATTCTGAGTGCTGTAATACAAGACAGCAATGACTAATTTATCTTTCTTCCTCTTGACATCTGTAAAAGGTCAGCTTCTTAATTTAGTCAGTGGAATAATATCTTGATATTTTGACAAATAGGTTAACGGCTAATTAATTTCCAGTCAAAGTCTTCTCTCATGATGCTGCTGAAATCCACCTTATCCTATTGCTGAATCTTTCTATTTCTTGCTACTTCTTCTTCTCTTTCTCACCATACAGCAATCAAATAATAACTGTTGGATCTTCCTGTACCTGTGCAATCTTACTGCTATCTTACATTGCTTTTGATCCCATCAAAGAGTGATGTCCAAGATGATTACATCACAAGATCCTATTTCTTCCAAATTCTTTCTTTCCCTATCTTCCTTCCTGCTTCAAGCTCTATTGCATCTCTCAGTAGATGTGACTATGAGATTATTTTCAGGTCAGTCTGAGTGCTGCTACATGACAACGAATATTTGTGATCTGGAAATCACTGAAGTTCATAAGGGAGACATGGCGATGCTCATATGGCTCACTCCTAGCAAACTGCATGGATCACAACAGCTGTTAAGAGAGAACTGTGAGAGTTTGCAATGTGTGTGAATCTGAGACAGAACTGTTTGAGGTGTTTGCCACAAAAGCATCGTGCTAAAGAGGAAGGGGACCACCAGCCATATTAAACAGTGCAACTACAGAGATGTTTAAAACAAGGAAAAAGTCAGCTTGAAAGTGTAGTTCGCTGACTGCCAGTTAACTTTATGTCATCAAAAAAGAAATAAACTACTTTGACCCATATTTAGTTCACAAATACATGAACAAAACTGTATTACCCTATAGAGGCAGAGAAGACAGATATACCAGGTTGGGCTCAAAGGGGTTACAGGCTGGCAGCCAGTCACTATTGGGGCTCTGCAGGGCTCCATTTTAGGGCCAGCTCTCTTCAATATTTCCATAAATGATTCAGATGCATGACTTGATAGCATACTAAGCAAAGTTTGGAGGTGACACTAATCTGGGAGGAGCTGGTGACACCCTTGAGAGTACAGAGGACTTGCAGAGAAGTCTTGACAAATGTGAGGGATGGGCAGTCACTAATGGCACAAAGTTTAACAAGAGCACCAGATTCTGCACCTGGGTCACAGCACCCCTCTTCCAGTGCTGGAGTTCAAGAAGCATTTGAACAATGCTCTCAGACACAGGGCTCAAATTTTGGGTGGTTCTGTGTGAAGCCAGGAGTTGGATTGGTGATCCTCGTGGATCCCTTCCAACTAGGAACAGCCTGTGATTCTATGGTACATTCCTGTTTCCTCTTGTAGTGACATCTTTGGTGAAGAAAAATATATTATGTCCGTTCTGTAAGCACTGCATCTTTGTAACTCTATCTTATAAATCTTTTTATATAATAAAGCTTTTTTATCAAAGAAAATAGTTTTATGCTCAAAAAAATAAAGCATATATTTCAAACAATACATCCTGGTCATACAGCTTAACTAATCTTGTATGTCTTAAAATGGGGAGTAGTGCAATTTTTGCAAATATATTTGCAATACCGTAGCATCACAAAAATACCACACAGTAGGTGCTTTTTTCTCAAATAGAAATTGATGCTAATAATTGTAATGTTAATTCATGATGCCAATGAGCAGAATTAAGGGGATGCAATTCCATGATTTGAGTTGGCAATACTAGTCAATACAGTGTTAAGATTTCTATGGGACAGTCTGACAAACTTCACATCAGCCACTCATCTCACTTTGTGAGTCTGGCAGAGAAAGTCTCTCCTTGCCCAAAGAGAAGGAAGTCCTTGTTAATCCTATCAGGAATCGCCCTGCCAGCTGGTGACAGAAGTGGTGGTCTCTGTTCTTGCTCTGTCCCACCCTCCTGGGCACCTTTCCTGTCCACTCTCCCTGGGAGGGTTGAAGAGGGATTGGATGTGCTGCCAGGCAATGCTGAGGAAGGAGAAGTCAGAAAAGCTGCTGAAAATTAAAATGTAGACAGGGCCAGAACAGCATCTGAAATGTAGCCAAGCAGCTCCTGTGAACAGTGATGATGGAAGAAGCAGTGAGGAGCTGCAAACATCAAGGAGCCAGTCCATAGAGAAAAGGGGAATTTCCAGTTACCACCAACTATTTGGTCAAAGGCACCAATGCCTAAAAAGACACTCTGATTTTCCTAACTTTCTGTTACAGAGGAGGTTAGAAAACAACTACACAAGAACAGCAGCAAAAAAAGAGCTCCATTACAGCAGGACATACAGGGCACAGGCCCTGCAGAAGGTGGTGGGGAAGAGGATTGAAAGGCAGAATATAAGCATGTTTCTTCCATACAGACACAAGGTAATAGACTGTCTCTGGACATCATCTCATGCTGTTTACCAAACCCCTAAAGCTGCCAAGAAGTGGAACTCCCACTGACAAGAGCAAGCTAAACTTCCATTACTCTTCGTTCCTATTTCTACATCATCCTTTCAGCTGCATAAATCTCCCCAGTAGTTCACCAGTGAGCCATGAAAAATCATGTTAATATGAGGATAAATACGACAAGCTTGCTTTCTTGTAGTAATGCTGGTTTAGGGTATTTATCAGACTTTAGTCCTCCTTGTCTCATCCTTCTCAGGCTCCAATTTTTTTCTTTCAGGCAGTTTTACCCAGACCCTTATCACCTGATGTAAGAAAAAAATGGCTTGTAAACTAAATTCATTTTGCATGAACAAAGCCATCCCTACAGTAAATTGCCTTTGGAAGTTTAAACCCACATTGAACATAATCTTTGTGTTTTGATGGTACTGTGGAAGCAGACATTCTGAAAAAAAATAATAAAAATAAAAATAAATTTGCAGTTCCTTCAAGGAATACCTGTTTCAGCCACTTATTACAGAAAAGGGACTGGAGATAGAAATCATTCCAGAAAATACTGGCCACATTATTATGCTCCATGCTTTACTTGGGGACCACCTGAAATATCTAGTCACACAATTACAGAATGGCCTGGGTTGAAAAGGACCACAATGACCATCCAGTTTCAACCCCCTGCTATGTGCAGGGTCACCAACCAGCAGACCAGGCTGCCCAGAGCCACATCCAGCCTGGCACTGAATGCTCCAGGGATGGGGCATCCACAACTTCCTTGGGCAATCTATTCCAGCTAGCATTTAATGAAATGCCTACATGTATGGTTCTAATAGGGGAGGTCAAATATCACCCAAGATAAAAGTTACAAGTAGATCCAAATTTTACAAAGCAGAAATTACCTCACAATAGTCTCTATTATAGAAATCAGCATTTGTTCTGTGATCTATTGTGCCTTTCTGAACAGTCTGGGAAATAAATCATTTTTTATAATACTTTTCTACTATTTTCTGTCATTTTACAAAATAACTGGAAGTAATTTTGAGAAATGTTTGAAGATTTTAGTCCTTTTGCAAAATGACTGGCTTCACTATGTGGCTATAGCATATATCAGAAACTGGTGCAAGAGCAGTTTACATAAAATAAGTAGTCAAACAGATTTCTCCACTCGCTATCTAAAAAGTGTCTCAGGACTTTGAAGTAATTTACAGAAGAACTTTACAAAAATATAAGAAATACTCCAAGTACATGATTCCAAAAGCTGAATACAATGCAAAAGGTAAAACAAAATGCTAAATCAAAGTCAAGATGTGAATACTATCTGCTTGCAAAGTAAGTATGGAGGATTTATTTAAAAACAAACAAAAAGAAAAAACGTGTACATTGCTACCTCTTCCCCTTCAGATACAACTTTATTGAGAAGGAACAGTTTCCTATTTCCCTCATTTCAGATATGAAATTCTACAATTTGGAGACGTTGAGAAGCTGATTAAGGGAAGGCAGAAAAAAAGAGGAATCTTCCATTATGTGAGCATCAAGAATAGATTCAGTATCATCAAAAAAGGACATATGGCTACTGGCCATGATGGCAGTGATTGTGTCAGAAAACTTTCATCCTCTGCCTATGCAAACATCATCAGATGATGTTGAGCTCTTCCAAACCAGCTATAGAGTGTTTCAGGGAAGACGAAAGAACCAGTTGGCTGAATGGTTTGCTGAACAATCTGTTTTAAACAAGGAGCACTAAGCACAGGACAAATTGACTATATTCATATCCCAATTATGACTTTATACAGCTTGAGGTGGATAATGGTGTCACCAAAATTTTGTGTTCTCCATCCACTTCTATAACAAAAGAGCTGAGGTTGCTCTGCAGTTTCTCAACATCTTTTTAATTTTTGGAGCTCCAGTAGTATTACAGGGTCATGATGGAATTGGATTAATTAATGAAGTCATACAAGAACTGAAATATTTGTGGTCTCAGCTCAGCTTGGTACATGGAAAACCAGGACAGTCTCAAAGTCAAATGCTCATTAGGTGTACGTTAGACTATAATGAATAGAACTGTTCTTTGGGAATTTGCTTTGCGCAGTTTTCTAAGAACTCAGGTCACCACTCAAGAATGAGCTGTTCACCATATTCAGCTCTGTTTGGAGCAGGCTCCAGATGTGAGCTCACCTTGACCTCTCTTACATCAGATGTGATGAGCTGCTCAGTGACTGAGGAGGACCTGGTCTCTGTGCTGACTGTTCCTGCTGCACCATCCATCCCAACAGCCAAAGCACATCCAAAGGATCCCAATGGTACTGCCACCAAAGCAGAGGCTGTTACAGAGCCTTCATCTAGGTCTCCATTAGGAGAAATTCATCCGTAGCATCTGAAACTTCCACTCACATAGACCTTAAAGACATGTAGCCTTTTGCCAGCAGAGACCAAGTCCAGGGCACAACTGTTAGGCATCCCAGCCTTCAAAACCCATCTGTTTTACCAGCGGGACAAAAGAGCACAGGCAGACCAGGCTGGCCCAGCTGAACAATGTAGGTCAGCATCCAAGAAAAGAGCGTGTGGCCAAGGCAACATCCAGCTGGCAGCGATGGAGACAACGTGACTCTCTCAGACTGACCAAAGGACCATCAAGGAAGCCAAGTGGAATGTTACAGAGCAAAATAAAGTCACCAACAGCCCTCATCACAATTGTATCAATCACAAAAATAATTGCTAGCTCAGTGAGAAAAACTGTTTCCAAGCTTAGGTTCTGAGTTTACATTACTTACAAATTTTTTACATGTGCTAATTTATCAAGATATTTTTTTTTTCCAAAATTAACTTAAAAAGTGAGAGAGAGTAACAGTTCACTAACTTAACAGTCAGTATGACTGAAGGAGAGAAAGCAGGTAAGGAAGGCAGCTATTGTTTTCTTTGGTGGAAACTAAAACAATCTCAGTCTACCAACAGAAACTTCCCCTTCCTCTTTACCAGTGATTACGTTACAAGATAATACATAATCATGATATAGTTCATGTCACCCTGCCTTCTGAAAGAACCAGAAACTGATATAGTATTGTTTTGTGTTGTCTTTATTCTAAATGCATTTTACTGAATGAATTTAATTTCATGAGGGAGTTAATTAATGTAGCTGTTTCTCATCACTAATGTAACCATACACATGCACATTCTTGTATCTCTGCTACATCTTCCCTCTATGCAATCTTAAAACAAACGAGACTATTTCCCATAGAACTCTCCTGATATTCAAGAATATGCTCAGCCCAGAGCTGCTGTGTGAATTTTGTTTTTACTTCAACAGTAACCTGCAAACTCAGTCACACACACGAAGAAAACAACACCAAAAGCCACAAGAGGAGGGTGCTGTTTTCATTCTGTTAATGTGGTTACATCACAACATTCCACCGCTAACAGCAGACTGCAAACCCGAGCTGATACCTCTTTGGTTGAGCAGTATTAACGTTCCAATAATTAAGCAATTTGAAAGGCTGAACATTCTTTGGTGCTTTAGAAGAGATGAAGCTTTTTGCAATGCAACAGTGGAGTGTGAAGAATAAACAAAGCCAGAAAAAAATAACAGCAAACTTTTCACCCTGTGAATGTGAGCTACATGAGGCAGCAAAACTGCAAGAACAGATGAAAAACCAGACAAGTGAAATTAGGCAGCAAGCAGTTCACGAACAAACAAGCAAAGCCAAGCTGCAAGACAAAAACGAATCTGAAAGAAAATTGCCAGCTGTTCCTTGGCAAAATTCCCCCTAACTGATCACAGGTGAGCTTATTTAACTGCACGAGGGACATAACAAAATGGTAGTGGAGGCA